ACAGGAAGAGTCTCATTTCAACTCTTGTTACAGATACATTATCTCATTTAATTTTTCCAACTCTAAGAGGCATATGTTGTTATCTCATTTTACAGATGCAAAATCTCAGGCTTAGTAGGTGGAATAATCCTCCGGTTTTAAGAAACCTGTTTTTCTGGGTGTGTGGGAGCAAGGGATTTCTGCACCAGCAACAACAGCACCTGACTCTGAGCTGTGGTCTTGTCTCCACATCTGACCCTGGGGGCCTGGAAACTCTGAGCCCACAGCAAGCTCTCTATTCTCCAGGACCATATCTGGTAGCAGGGACAGGTGCTGTTCCTCAGAAGCCAAGGCCCATCGTGGACTGCAGTGAGATTTCAGAGCCTCCTCAGCCACTCCCCTGGGAGCAGAGCCAGGCCTCATCCGCAAACTTCCCTGAGCTGTGGGAGCAGCTTACAGGGGCCAGGCCAGAGCCACACCACACGTGGAGAGCTGTGCCCTGAGCCTGAGGCAGAGAGAGTGGGCCCCAGGAGGTCTTTTCCAGGCCAGGCTGCTCAGGTAGGGGTCGTCTGGGTCTGGCAGAGAACAGTGTTTAGTGACTAGAGCCTTTGCTCTCCTTCATTTTTCTTCCTTTCCTCCATTTCTGTGTCTCCGTCACTATCTTTCTCAGCCTTAGTCTCCTCCATAAATGACCCTTTCCTCTTGGAATCACACTTCCAGCATGCCCACATGGGGTCTCCATCTTTCCCCCTGGTATGGTCTGGACCTGGGAGCTCTGCAGATGCCTAGCCCTTTGGTGGCTGGGGTGGAGGCACAGTGAGGAAGATAGCAAGTGCCTCCCCCAGCCTGTGCAGAGCATGCATTTCCTCCTCCAGGAACCAGCCCTGCTTCTCTCTTTATTCCCAGTGCAGAGCACAGGCACTGCCTCCCACAGCGTGGGCACCACTGGCTTTGCATTTCTGGGAACTGAGGCCCCGTGGAGTTGTGCAGTGTCACAGCCAGCACAGGGCCTGGCACATGTGCTCCGTGAGTGGCTGGGGTGCATTAGATAGAACCGTGTTTGAGTTTGGACTGAGCAGAGCACAGGCATGTTGGAAAAATAGCATCACCAGACCCTGCAGACCGAGGGCTAAGCAGCGGGGCAGGGCAGAGGTGGCCAGGGAAGAAGAGCTCAGGGAGGGCTGGGGTGGTGGGAGAGGGGCTGAAGAGGTCCCTGGAACTGGGTCCCAGACCCAGCAGGGGCTCCATCCCCAGTCCAACCATCTTTCTGCCTTCCTAAGAGCTCCCAATGGAAGGGGTTGAACAGAGCCGATTTGTACCCCCTCACCGGGAGGGATACACCTTCCATGCTCTCTTCCCTAGACACAGGGCTAGGAGGGAAGGGATGGTGGTGCAGCAGACCTGCTGGAGTGGACAAGCCGAATCCAAATCCAAACACGCCGCAGAAACTAGCCAACACGTGTAGTGTCCTCACCTGAAAATGGGAATAATAAAGCCAACTCATATGGTTAATATAACAATTGAGATCATATCTGTGATGTGGCCAACCCAATACTTCTGGCACATCCTGGTAAACATTAGTCTCCTTACCCCTCATTGCTCTGGAAGATAGTTGTCAGCAGGAAGGTGTCTGAGAGTGGCTTTTCAGGAAGAACTTGCAAGTATCCAGGGTGGTGCCAGCCAAAGGAACATCGAACCTGCCCAGGATCCTACCTGAGGCGAGGAGTGTGGGAAGGAGACAGGAACACGCAGGCAGCCCGGGTGGGGCTTTCCTTCCATGTGGAAAGTTCTGATCCCATGGCATGGGCCCAAGGGTTCAGGGGTGGAGGACACTGCGTCATAGGCATTTGGTGCCCTGTGCTCACGACCTTACCACTAGTGCTTCATTTCCTTAGCCAAAGGCTTCCCACCCTACCTGTCCTGGTGACAGAGGCCAGGCTGCCTCTCACTAAGGGCTCTGTGCAGTGAATGAGCTCTTGTAGACACTGGGAGCAGAGTGAGGGAAAGGGCCATGGCAGGGGGAGGGGAGGACCCAAGGAGGGAGGAAGCCACGCAGGACTTCATGCTTCAGTTCAGCAGGAACAGCCAGGACCACCCCTCCTGCACCCCTCAGCTCAGTGCCCATCTGGGCCTAGTCTATTGCACCAGCTTCCTCGTTCTCATCCTTCCCCTGTGCTGGCCCCAAGAGGGAGTTTCTGAAATGCCAGCGTCACCACCTCCATTCACTGACTTTGCTACAGTCACTGGAGGCACGAGCAGAAATAAAATACGAAGATGCCCACCCTTGAGAAGCTCACATCTGAGGCAGACCCCAAGTCAACAATTACGTTCAGAGAGATAAATGGGGAGCACTTGGGGTTGCGAAAGTTCCCAGGCTAGGAGTCGGGGAAGGCTTCCAAGGAAGCATCCTGGTGGAGGAACAGTACTCACAGAGACCAGGAGGGGAGGGACAGCATGGCACCTCCAGGAACCAAAGGAGAGTTCTGACCCGAACTCTCAGGAGTAGGGGTGGGGGTGGGGAGGGAGAGACTCCATGTGGGAGGCTGCTGCAGGGGAAGCTGCTGCAGGACAACCTGGTCACTGGGACTGTTGGCCTAGTGTCTGCTGATGAGGAACCTGAGAGCATTGAGGTGCATATTTACCTGGGCCCTGGAGGTGGCTGAGGGGGAGGAGAGCAGTGGGGAGCTGGGTGGGCACGGGGAAAGTACAGCCTTGGCAGGGTAGGAAGATGGGGAGGTGGGCTGTGCAAAGGGCCTGACTTTTAGGTGGTGACCTCAGAAGACAAGGCCATGAGGCTGGTGGGATTATCTGGCCCAGGATTCCAAGCAGAATTCTGGTTCTAGAATCTCCAGTGAGGGACCAGCCTGAAACCTGAGGGAGGTAAGGGCTGCAGATCCTGGGAGTAGGGGCCTGGTCTCCCTTCCACTGTGAGCTGTAGATGGAATAAACTGGACTCAGAGACCGTGAACCTAAAGGTAATTGTTTTTAAGCAACTGACTTAAGTAACGTTTTCCATGGGGTATACTTTTCCCTTGTTTTCTGGTTACAATTAAGCCTTAGAAGTCCCTGTGAATCAGGAAGTTAGATAGAGACAAGAGCGGGAGGGAGGAGGAAACCTGTTATTTGCAAGTGGGAAAACCAGATGTGGGCACGCACATGTGCAAAAGTGGCCACAGGAGACAAAGACAATTCCAGAGGGGGAGCTCCGCCCCCACGTTGGGTGCCATTTGTTTGGACCAATGAGCTCCCACCAGCTAGGGCACCAATCAACAAAGACTACGCTCAGGGCTCAATGAATGACCAAACAACACTAATCCAGCTAAGAGAACTTAACCTCCCCCCCCCAGAAAGTACCTGTCAGGGCTCTTGAGCCACTTTTTCTCGCTCAAGCCTGCTCCGTCCTCTCCAAAGTGTATTCTTGCTTTGCTAAATACAACTGTCCTTTGCTTTCCGCCTCTGGAGTGTCTCATCCAGTTGTTTGCTGGAGACACCAAGAACCCAGATTTAGCCAGTGGAACTCCTCAGTTTCCCTTAACACCTGCTGTCGCTTTAAGTGTGAAGACACAGCCTCGGTTCAGACATTACTGAGAAATGTTAATGCCCAGTGCCATACATTACTCAACATTTCAATCTTCATTCCAAGGTAAGACTTCTTCTTCTGCAGGTTCCATCTTCAGCAGGACTGGCTGCAGGGCCTGCCTGCCTCGGGAAAAAGGGGACACTGTCAGCAACTTCTGTTTCTCCCTCACTTCTGTCCTACTTGAGAACAGCTACTTGTGAGCCCTGGGAACTGCAATGTGAGGAGAGAGAAGTTGTAATGAGCAGCAAAGTTCTGACTCAGGTAGCACTCTCCTGGGATGGCTCCAGCTTGTGGGCCTGGACCCAGTGTAGGCCTGACTCTTCCCTGTGGATGCTCCTATGTAGTGTTCGGGATTCCCTTGGCCTGGGGGACCTCCTCTCCACACCATTGGCCACTTCAGTTCTTCCACAGCCTCTAGGAATCCAGATCCTGTCAGCTGAGGCCCCAGTGCCCTGGAGGTAGCCTACTGGACAGGACCTAAGGAGATCCCCTGCTGTCTTTTTCATGCATGTAGCCCACATCTATTCCACATTCACACACACCAAGAAAATACTTCTACAATCTTAGTTCAACCCCAGGGTGCAGGACAATCCCAAACCAACAACTCCCAACAGCCCCACAGTTGCAACAGCAAGTCAGCCTCAGGCTCTTGCCCTTTGCATATTTTAGGCTTGAGTCAGACCCTGGTACACAGTGACCCCAGCTGTGGGGTGCACTACCAAACTCTCCAAGTGTCCCTGCCAAAGCTCCTGGACCTGAAACCATATTTGGGACAGGGGGTAAGCAGCCCCACACCTTCATGCTGGGAAAACACAACAAAGATTTATCCAAAGAAATACTTGCAAAATCCTTTTGTATACCCCTAACAGAGTTATTAGAGTTATAAATCCAGTTCTTAGAATTTTCTTTACAAATCTGCCCCTTGTTTTGTAATTTTTATGTATATTAGTTTTTTCCCCCTATACTTTCTAAAATACACATAATATACACATAAAGTAAAATTTACCACTTTTAAGTGTACGGTTCAGTGGTATTAAATACATTCATGTTGTGCAACCATCACCACCATCCATCTTCATAACTCTTCTCATCTTCCCAAACTGAAATTCCGTACCCATTAAACACTGTGTGCACCTGTGTGCTGTATATTTGCACAGATGTGTGCATACATGTGTGTGCATGCGTATACACATGTGCACGTGAGTGTGTGTGCACTGTGTGCTTATGTGTGTGCATATGTGTGCACACGAGTATGTGTGTGAATGTGCATATGTGTATAGTAGCAGCAGGGGAAGGGGGAGAAGAGAGGGAATTCTGAAGGGGTTGGGGTGGCAGTTAGGAGACAAAGTGGGCAGGACTTTATGTACCCAGGAGGGCTCAGAACTTTCTCAACAGCTAATGGTGCTTGATGCTGTTTAATCATTAAAGGAGAGGAATGACACCAGGAGCGCCTCAAAGTCCAGCCTGCTGGGGACTGACACTAACAGATGAACAAGGCGTTGGGAAAATGGGGCTTGGAGCTTTGGAGGATGGGGTCAGGACTGAGACAGCTCTGCACTCAGCACTGGGCTCTGGAGTCAGCCTGCATGCCTACGACATCGGGGTGGTGGTCCTCTACTTTGTCTTCGTCATTGCCCTGGGGATCTGGGTGAGTGAGCCCTGAGGCTGGGGCCTGGCAGGGGAGGCAGAGGTGGCCTCTCATCTTGGGCTGGAGCAGGGGTGGGCAAAAGGAAGCACATCACAGAACCACAGGGGTTGAGATAAAAGGGCCCTCAGGAGGCATCCTCCCACATTCCTCCTTCCACAGAAGGGCAGAATGAGGCCCAGAGAGGGCTTTGGCTTGCCTGAGGTTACACAGCAAACAGGTAGGCCAAGCTTAGAGCCCCTGACTCCTGACTCCAAGTCTCTATGCATCTGCTGCTTTTCTCCAACCACTCTTGGCCACCCTGAGCCTCACTCCTGCCCTCTTCCCTGTGCAAATGATGGACCCCATGTCCTGCCCCAACCCTGCACTAGCTAGTGTCTTGGCCAAGGAGCGGTGCTTCTACAGGAGCCGGGGCTCCCATGTGTGCTCTCAGGGAAGGAGGCTGGGCAGATTCCAAGCTACCTCTCTTCTCCACTGTTCACAGGAGCCTTGGTGCTGTGGGCAGGGGACAGGCTTTGAGGTCAGGAAGCCATGAATTCAGATCCCAACTCCAACAGTTAGAGCATCGTGGCCCTGGGAATATGTAAACCTTCCTGAGCCTCTGTTTTCTTGTGTGGACAATGACAATATGGACTACACTGAAAATTGCTGTGATCATTCAGTGACAGATAGGGTGGATTTAAGCCTCGGGCATGGTGCTGGGCACACAGTTGGCAGGCAGTAAATGGCTGCTCTTATCACCACAGCATTCTGCAGAAATGCCAGCACCTTTAGACTCTGCCGTGAGGCAGACTGTGATTCCAGTACCAACTGGTCACTTCCTGTGGGAGGTCAGGAACCCTCTCTGGGCCTCAGTTTCCTCATCTATAAAAGGGACATGAGTGGTCCCTGCCTCCCAGGGCTGGGATGAGGCAGAAATGGGCAAACAGATGATTGCTGCCTCCTAGAAGGTGGCCAGACCCCCAAATCACCAACTCCTCTGTGATTTTGGACAAGTTGTCCCTGTCCTGGGCCTCAGGTTCCTCACCTACATAATGAATTATTTCTACTCATATGGTCACCAAGAGATCAGAGGTGACACTGGATAGTTCAAGCAAAGTTTCACAAGCACCAGGCCCTGCAAACACTTATCACTCTCTGGTGACTGATTAATTACTTTCCCTTGGGAAAAAGCCTTTTTTTCTAATTTCCCCCTTTTCTTCATCTCTTTTAAGTATTTCTCCTCTCTCTAGACCCCATCAGAGACCTGCTGGCTTCAGCATCCTCACAAGTGCTTCAAGTGCATCCTGCCCTACTTTCTCCCTGCCCTCGTCTCGTGTCCCAGAGAAAACTCAGACAGGTGGCTAGCTGACCCCTACTGCTGCAGGACGGGGGGTTCTTCCAGGGCCCTGGATGGGACTCAGTGGTGGGTCTGACTTCAGGCCAGGCCAAGAGAAGCCCCAAACAGAGCTTCTCACTCTGCTCAGGGCCAGAAGGCAGCCCTCTCTGTCCTTCCAGCCTCCGATACAACAGCCCGGCTGGGAGGAAGGAGGGGGTCAGTTCAGGGCGAGGACAGCCACTATACACCTGGGAATGACAGATCGAATGGCCCCCCAGAAAGCAAACTGTAGGAGGAGGGAAGGAGAAGTGGATGAGAGTGCACGGCCATAGTCATCTCACACACTCGCACAGCCTCTGCCATTCACGGAGACTCTGCCATCCTCTTCCTCCTCTGCTCCTCACACCAGCCCTGGGAGAAGTGCAGTGAGGCCGCAGAGAGGAAGGGCCTCTCCCAGAGACACACGGCTCCAGAACAGTGGAGCCGCCAGCACTCAGGCAGCTCTGTCCCACCTCAGTTCTCATCCTCTGTGTCCCCACAAGGCCTGCACCCAGGTGCAGGGAACCTGGGGAGGAGGGTGGACATTGGAGAGAGGCTTGGAAAATCCTCATCTTTTGCCATTTCCTTTGCAGTCATCCATCCGTGCAAGCCAACGGACCATCGGCGGCTACTTCCTGGCGGGGAGGTCCATGAGCTGGTGGCCAGTGAGTTGACCCTCCTCACCCATCCCCAGTGTGGAGGCTCCCAACTCCTCCCCTCCTCCCCACCAACCATTCCCCGCTCATCTTCTCTTGCTTGCACCACGGAAACAGCCTCCCCACTCGATTTCTTAACTCAACTCCTGCTCTCCTTCCCCAAGTCACCCCACAACCTGAGTGGCCTTGCTAACACAGACTTCTGACAAGCATCTCCAGGGCACCTCCTAGGTGTGGCCCCACACCAGGCACTTTGGACCTGCAGAGATGAATCTGGAATGTCCCTATCCCAGAAAAGCTCAGAGTTGAGCTGGGCAGACAGACTCATAAGCAAAATGATCAGTGCTGAGCTAGAGGGAAGCATGAGGGCTTGTGAGAGCTTGAGGGAAGTGGGGTGGGGTGTGGTTAGGAGAGATTTTCTTGGGAAGGTGACACGTAGCTCAATACTGAACAGCAGTTGAGTGAGGGCAATTATAGGGATGAAATCTCCAACAACCTCAAAGAATCAATCCTGAAACCTTTGTGAACCCCAGCTTCTCCCATCAGGCCACCCCACATTCCCATTGGTCCTCACAACTAACTTCCTCCTCCTAAGGTGAGTGGAGAGATGTAAGCCCTGCCCCAGTGGTAGCTGAAGCTGAATACATACCCAGACACACAAAACTCACACACGTCATGTGTGCATGCATGCTCACACACACAGTCACACACTAAGGCACACACACACACAGGCCCACACAAAAAAACACACATTCACACATGCACACACCCACATATATGCACTCACACAGTAGGACACACACATTCACCCATGCCCACACTCACACATACATGCACACTGGCACTCACACACTAACACACACACACACACATTCATGCATGCCCACACTCACACATACATGCACACCGGCACTCACACACTAACACACACACACACACACACACATTCATGCATGCCCACACGCTCACTCGCACACATGCCCACACTCACACACTCATACTTACACATGAACACACTCAGAACACCAGCTGCCTTCCCACTTCTTCCCATACCTATCTTGGTTCTCACCACCCTCCCTGCCCACCACTGGTCACTGACTCTGGAGAGTAGAGGAAACTCAGGAGGCCTCCAGGGCTCTGGAAGATTTGGGTATCTGGGACAGGAAGAAGTAGGGGCAGGGAGTGCTGGTGTCATCCGGTATGACAGAATCCACAGGGCTGGGGGGAGGTGCTGAGGGTCTGGCAGCTCGCAGGGACAGTGACAGCATCACAGGCAATATCAGTAACCCTTTCATCAGGAGAAAGAATAACCCATAGAAATAGCTCTTCTCAGCCAGTGCCCCCAAATCACAGCCCTTGAAATGAGTTAGGGGAGGAGAAAAAAGCAGGATACAGAAGGTTCCTTTGGCCAGTTCCAGAGAAGCCCAGGGGCCTGGGCCAACTTCCCACTCAATCCTGCAGAGGGAGAGCTGTGGGTCCCACTGTAGCTGTGCAGAATCTGAGGCCTCTGAGCAGGAGGGGGCCGTGGCAGATGCTCTCATGTCCTCACTGTGCTCCAAACACAGCCTGGGCACCCATGGGAAGGAGGATGTGCTGCCCACCCTCAGGTGGGCAGGACTGTCAGTTGTGCCTCCTGCAACTGAGAGGGTCCAGCCTGAGGTCAGGGTGAGAACCAGCTCTGGGTGGGGGTATCTCAGTCCCATTGGCACTGCAAGAGCTGGTGTGTCCAGGTATCCATCCAGTCCTGAGACTGTGACCTGAGGAGAGTGTGGGGCTGGGAGGCTGAGAGCAGGAGCAGCAGCCATCCCCGCTGCAGAGATGCCCCAGTGGTCCTCCTCCCATGCCTCCCCTGAGAGCTTGTTGATGTCTTTTGAGTTATGAGCAGGGAGCATGGGGGGAGGGAGCAGGTGCCTGGCTGCTCCAAGAACAGCCTGGGGGAGGCTTCTTCCTCTGAAGCAGGAGGACTGGTGCACTCTGCTCTGGCTAGATGTTCTAGTCCAGCCCTGCCAGCACCCCTGGACCACTTCAGAGGGTGAGAGTGGGTGAGCATGTGTGCACATGTGTGCATGAGTGTGTGCCTTGTGAGAGTATGAATGTGTGTGCATGTGTGTGAGTGCACGTGTGTGTGTTGTGAATGTGAGTGCATGTGTGCACGTATCCGAGTGCATGCATGTGAGTGTGTGCTTGCGTGTGAGTGTATGAGTGTGTATGTCACTGTGTGTGACTGCATGTCTGTGAGTGCATGTATAAGCATGCATAAGTGTGTGCAGGTTCATGTCCGTCTCAGGGTGGGGTAGCACAACAGCCTCAGCAAGGTCAGGCTACTTGTTATCTCTATGCCTTTACACTGTCTCTTCCCTGAATTTCTCAATTTTCTTCTTTGTTTTCACTTTCTATTTCCCAGCATCCCTAGAAGAGCAGGAAGTTGGGTGGTGAGTCCCCACATTTTATAGGTGAAGAAGCTGAGACTTTGAGAGAGAAAGTGAGTTTCTTAAGGTGGCATGGGGTGCAAAGCTGGAGGACAGTTCTTCCCCTCCAGCCCCAGTCCTGTCTCCAAGGTCTCCCCTAAGCCTCCCACCTGGCACTAGAGCCCCTCTGTCTGCCATTTCTTCCCTCCCAGTCAAGGATCTCACCTAATGTGAAAGGTAACATTGACTGAGTGCTGATTGGGTGCTGAGCACCATTTGCGCAGTGCTTACTAGAGCCAGGGTCTGAATCCGCATTCAGTTGCTTATTAGTCCTGGGACTGGGGCAAGTAATTTACCTGTGCCTCAGTTCCCTCATCAGTAAAAGGGAGATAACAATAGTAACTTCCTCATGAGGATGAAAGGAGTTAATATATTTAGAAGAGGATCTGGGGCTCAGCAATGCTGAATGAGAACTGCTGTAATTGTTCCTATTATCGTTATCGTTACCATCTCCTACTGTTGCAGAATGGTTGGGCTTTACCTGCCCGTGATGGCTGCCCTCCTGGAGAAAAATTAACTCTGGCCTGGCCTGGGTCAGCCCCTCGGTTCCTCCCTCTGCCAGGCCTTACCCTAGATCCTGCAGGAAGTGGGGTGGTGGAAGGGCCTCCCCCATCACTCTCGTGAGGGCCTCCCCCAGCCCCTTCAGTTCTGTCCTCTCTGGAGGCCCTTAGGCCGGTGGCCCCAGTGCAAAGTTTCATCTTCCACGACCCTCAGACCTGATTCCTGTGGATTCCCTTCTTCCCCACTTCACCACTTACTGGGTGACCTGGAGCCAGTGACTTCATTTTTTCTAATTTTTGTTCCTTCCTCTGTAAATTGGGAAGATTAATACCCCTCTCACCAGACACTAGTGGAAGTTAAAATGTACTCGTGCATATAAAGTGCCTGGCACAGCACAGAAGTTGCCCAGTAAATGTCATTTCCACACCTCCTCCTCACTGCTCTGGTCCTGACTCTAGACTGATTCAGGTTAACCCTGGCGCCTGACCTTTGACTCCACTTGTGCCTTGCAGATTGGAGCATCTCTGATGTCCAGCAATGTGGGCAGTGGCTTGTTCATTGGGCTGGCTGGGACAGGAGCTGCTGGAGGCCTCGCCGTGGGGGGCTTTGAGTGGAACGTAAGGAAGCTGACCTGGAGGCTGCTCCAGGACAGTGAGGGTCTGTACCTACACCCACCCCTGGCCTTAGTGCTGAGGAGCCTTAGAGATGCTTGGAGGCTGCATGGTGAATCGAGAACCCATTTTACAGATGAGGAAAGCAAGGCTCAGAGGAGACAGAGGGATTCATCCTAGGTCACACAGAAGGACTGGGATCAGGCCCCAGGCCCCTTACCTCCCTGCTCAGGGCTTTCCCACAGTTAGGGCATGGCACTCCTCCAGGTAGGAAGCTGCCCCTGTCTCATGTCTAGGAACTGGATGCCTTCTTCTCCCCACTCTCCCAGGCAACCTGGGTGCTCCTAGCCCTTGGCTGGATCTTCATCCCCGTGTACATCGCAGCCGGTGTGGTTACAATGCCGGAGTACCTGAAGAAGCGATTTGGGGGCCAGAGGATCCAGGTGTACATGTCTGTCCTGTCTCTCATCCTCTACATATTCACCAAGATATCGGTGGGTACCCAAACCAACAGGGCCATCTTATCTGTCTGGAAATGCTGAATAGGGAACTGCTGAATGTATTTCCATGGACTTGTTGCTAAGAAAAAGCTGACAATTAGATTGGATGAAAGGAAAGGATAGATGGGTGGACAGAATGATGGGTGGACAGAATGATGGGTGGATGGGTGGATGAACACAAGAAAGAATGGAAGGAAGGAAGGACAGAGAAAGGCATGGATCCACATACCTTCGAAGTATGCTCCTGGATCCTCTGCAGCAGTGGGGTAATCAGAGATAAATGATAAATGTTTGTGGAGTAACAGTCCCTATATTCAAAGAACTCACAATCCAGAGTTTGTTCATTAATTTATTAATTCATCTTTTCATTACTTGATTCTTTATTCAGCAACCATGCATTAATTGCCTAGAATGTTAGAGTTAGAACTTATTCTTCCTCTATTGACCTAAACTCAGAAAAAGAACCTAGAGAGGTCAAATGACTTGCCCAAGTCCACACAGAGGGCTAGCTCTGGGACTGCTGCTAAAGTTCAAGTCCCATGACACAGTCTGGGTCTGTTTCCACTCTGTTGTGTTGAAGATCTTGTAATAAGTTCATAAAACAATCATGGAATGGGATCGGCACACACACAGAGGAACTGAATCATTTAGTTGCCAGGGCTAGGGCTGAAAAACATTTTGAGGCCCCTTGTTCCTCTAGTGCTTGAGAACGACCTAGGTCAGTTTAGGCACAGGCTGCATACCCACATTCTCTCATAAACCCAAGCACAAGGATTATCCAAAACCTGTGGTTAGCTGCACTGGGGCTCCTGCCACATTGGGTCAGCCATGGGCCCATCTGGCAGCCAGGTGGGTCTCTGCTCTGACATGGAGCACCCAGCAAGCCTCTGGGCTCCTACTCTCTCCCCCTAATGACCTCTTTCTCTCCAACCCTAGATTCCCCTTTCACTTCCTCAGTCTTCCACTTCATTCCTTACCACTCCTTTCAGGCAAACAGACCAGCCTATCAGTGCTACCCAATTAAATTTCTCCCAGTTTTTCCCTTTTTGTCTTTTTTCGTGACCGGCAATGGATCGCAACCCTCAGTGTCGCCCCCGTACCGGACCCGGACTGGCAACGGGATCGCAACCCTCGGTGTTGCACCCGCCCCTCACTCAGCCAGTGAGCGGCCGGTCTGTATGTGGGATCCGAACCCTTGGCGGGAGCGCCGCTGCGCTCCCAAGCGGGGCACTGTAGCAGTGTGCCACCGGGCCGGCCCCAAATTTCTCCCAGTTTTTAAGGTTTACGCAGTACAGCCCTGTTTTAAAGTCTCCATAGTTCCTCAATGTCTGCAAGATCAAGCCCCTACTCCTTAGCATGGCACTTAAGGCTCATCTTCATCGTGTGATGGGGGCTGAGGGTACCTGGTATTGCTGAGCAGGTAGGTGACATACCCACGGCAGCCACACAGAGGGCAGTGGGGAACCTGGACTCATGGGTCATGGCTCTCTGCAGACTGACATCTTCTCTGGAGCCCTCTTTATCCAGATGGCCTTGGGCTGGAACCTTTATCTCTCCACGGTGATCTTGCTAGTGGTGACGGCCGTCTACACCATCACAGGTAGGGCTGAGGGAAGGTTGTGTCTGTGCGCAGAGACCGAGAGACAGGGAGAGGTGGACAGGGAAGCTTTTGGCAGAGGCATAGCGAGAAAGAATGAAGTACAGAGACAACAAGAGAGAGGGGCAGAGAGACAGAAAACTGATGTTGAAAGAGAGAATGAGAAACAAGGAGAGCCAGAGACAGAGAGAGGCTAAGAGAAAAACACCGAGGAACAGACTGAAAGACACAGTGTGAGAAAAGGGGGGTGAAAAGGGCAGAAACAAGGAAACAGCTGGGGAAGGAGAGACACTAAGAGAAACTGAAAAAGACGGACTGCAAGTGTAACAGGGTAGACATGAGCAGCTTTTACCTGGGCCAGGGTCACTGTGGGCTGCTCCAGGCAAAGGCCACAAACCCGCCTTCTCCTGATTCCTCCAAAGCACCCCACACGGGGGGCTCGGCTCCCTGGGAGACCAGCTCAGGACAGACTTACACACAGCTAAGTTAGGGCATTTAGAGGAACAATGGGGGGGCGTGGGGGAAGGAGGGAGAATTCCTGGTGGAGCTAACGGCACAAGGAAAGGAATGGATTTGGGATATGAAACAGCAGCAACAAAACACTGTGACATGAGGGCCACAGTCAGATTCTGGCAGGGATAGAAGGAGCTAGACCTGAGCACCTCTAACTGTGATCAGTCTCCATCCTGCCAGGGTGGGACAGGTGGGAGCACTGGGTATGGGGAAGGCAGGTGGCCAGAGTCCACCCGCTGAGATGGTCTTCCCTGGTCTCCCCAGTGTGGGCACACACAGGGCGGCACCCACAGAGGAGCCCCCTGTTGGTGCTGACTGATGAGCCCTTTCCTTGGGTACCCAGGGGGCCTCACAGCTGTGATCTACACAGATGCTCTGCAGACAGTCATCATGGTGGGGGGAGCCCTGGTCCTCATGTTTCTGGGTAAGGAAGAGGCCCCACCCTCACCTCTAAATTCCTCTCTGATCTGTCTTTGTCCGTCGTCTCCTTGGCTTGCCTGGAATTTTATAGAGCACAGAGCCATGTCCCCTTTCCAGGCCAGGGCTCCCAAAGAGTGAGATTCTCTCTACTCCAAACCAGGGATCTAGAATCTGAGCCCTGTCTCCCTCCTATATTCCCAATCCCCAGGCCAGTTCCAGTCTAGGGGCCCACATGGGGCTGTGAGCTGGGGTGGGCAGAGAGTCAGATTCACTGGGGTCTCAGGAATGCTTCACTCATGGTGTCTCTCCCCACAGGCTTTCAGGAGGTGGGCTGGTACCCAGGCCTGCAGCAGCGGTATAGGCAGGCCATCCCTAATATCACAGTCCCTAACACCACCTGTCACCTCCCACGGCCTGATGCTTTCCACGTGCTTCGGGATCCTGTGAGCGGGGACATTCCTTGGCCAGGTCTCATTTTTGGGCTCACAGTGCTGGCCACCTGGTGCTGGTGCACAGACCAGGTAAGGCCCTCAGCCAGGCTTGACCTAGACCACCAGGAATCGGGGTGACTTCCTGCCAAAAAAAACCAGGCGCCTGGATACAGAGGGCTGGACCTCACTCTGGGACTGGAGTACGGGCACAGTCAGTGACCAGTGTCAGGGCTCACCATGGCTGAGCTGGACCCCTCCCCAACCCAAGTGGTGCACCCCATTGCTGCTGTTTCAGGTCACTGTGCAGAGGTCTCTCTCCGCCAAGACTCTGTCCCATGCCAAGGGAGGCTCAGTGCTCGGGGGCTACCTGAAGATCCTCCCCGTGTTCTTCATCGTCATGCCCGGCATGATCAGCCGGGCCCTGTTCCCAGGTCAGAGATAGCCTTGCTTCTTGGGTGTTGGGATGTGGGGCTTGCATGGGGCTTCCAGAGAAGGTGCTCCTGGACAATGTTGGACCAGAGCAGGGGTTGGCAAGCTTTTCTATTTAGAACACATAGTAAGTATTTTAGGCTGTGTGGGCCAAACATATAACAAATATTTGAGTAGAAGAAATTTGTATCTGAATGCCCTTTTGGAGCCTTGCTTTCCCTTTATATGAAGTAAAAACAGTTCAGGCTTTCTTGGCATCTTGCAAAGACATTTGCCTTTATCACGATAGAATGTCTAAAACCCAAAGGAGTCTATCAAGCTCCACAAGGTCGTAGATGGGCAGGAAAATTACCAGAGACCCAGGTGCCCCTTGACCTTCTAGACATAGATCCCTGCCAGAGTCTGCAGTGAACACTTCCCTCTAGTGTTGGAAACCAAATGTGGGGCCAACCTGACAAGGCTAGGCTCCCTCAGCTCCAACCACCATCACTTTTGCAGACGAGGTGGGCTGCGTGGACCCCGACATCTGCCAAAGAGTCTGTGGGGCCCGAGTGGGGTGTTCCAACATCGCCTACCCCAAGTTGGTCATGGCCCTCATGCCCACTGGTGAGTCTCTCTCCCCACCCCACCCTCCACTCCCACCTCCCGGCTTCCACCCATCCCCATGCCCAGGAGGGATCGCAGTGAAATGGATGAGAAGAGAGAATAAAAATTTTCACCTCTACACCCCCCTGGGCCCCCCCACAACAACAACACTTTTCACAAGAGTACGTAAGGCAGCTGCTCTGTGCACCAGTCCTGGAGATGCAGGAATAAAAGATAGGACCCTGCGGACAGGCTTCATGTAGTCACTGGGGCACTCGGACTTACAAAGGGCACAGTACAATGTGTAATGTGACCAGTGCGGTGACCCAGGGGGAGCTAAGTGATCCCTAAGGAGGCAACTGAACCAGTCTGGGGGAATGTTGGGTAAGTCTCCCAGAGGGGAGGAAAGGGAGCTGAATCCTGAGGAATATCGTAGGCAGACAAAGCCAGAGGGGTGTGGGAAGTGTCCGTCATTCTAGGGATGAGAATCTGCATATGCAAAGACCCGCGGTTGATAGAGCATGAAGTTGGTACTGAAAGTAGCCCAGTGTGGACACAGAGGCAAGGAGGAGTGAACACAACCCTGCTGGAGAGGATGTCTTTGCCAAGCCTCCTCCTGGAGCAAAGCCTCCACTCTGAAGGCACTGGCGGGCTCCGGGTGGCTAAGGGCAGCAAGTGCATGACTGGATTTGGGCTATAACAGACCACTCTGCATGAGGACTCAGGGTGGAGGAAGGCTCAGGGGGAGGTGGGCTCAGGGGAAAGCAGGGAGACAGTCAGTGAGGTGTCTGCTGTGGTCTGGGTAGTGCGTCATAGTGGCTTGGACCAAGTCAGTGGCTTCAGAGATGGACAGCAGGGGTTTAAAGATATTCCTGAAGTAGAATTGGCAGGACTTGATAACAGATTGTATCTGAGGGACAAGAAAGACAGAAGAATCGAAGAGTGCTCCCAAGTCTTGGTCTTTAGAAGCAGGTTTACAATGATATTGAGATTGGGACCACAGGAAGAAAGGCAGGCTTATGGAGGGCAGCGGGTGAGTTGAGAATGAGAAATGAATCAAAGAAATCGTGGAGATGGTGGGAGGCCCAGCTAGCAAAGAGCAGGCGCTGAGGGATGGAGGTGGTGAGGAAGGAGAGCAGACGAAGGGGTCTAAGATAACTCTGACATGTCTGCTGCGGGACCAGATAGATATTATTGACCAAAGAGTGACACAGAAGGCCCCAGAGGAAGCTGAGTACCTAAGTTTGGAACACGTGAGTCCAAGGCTCCTATGAATCTTCCAGGGAGACATTTGGGAGGTAGTTACATGGATTTGATGAGAAAGAGAACTGAGGTGGGACCATGGCCGGGAGTCAGCTCCCCAGGGCGAGCGGTCGTATTTCTAGAAGCTTGGTCATTAGAGTCAGAGAGAATTCAGATATCACTGGGCCCCACCCTTTCTTGTCCTGGTAGGACGATAGGCCCAGAAAGGGGAAGAAACTAGTCCAAAGATCACACATACAGCCAGTTACTTGCAAAGCCAGCAAACAGCAAAACAGCACCAGGGCTTCTGCCTCCCAGGCTGGGGCTTCAGCCCAACACCACAGTGTCAGCGAGAAAGGTACAAAAACACTAAAACTCAATTATTAATAATCTCCTTCCTCCTCCCCCGCCTTCCCCCCTACCAGGGACTCATTAAACAAGTGTCTACAAGCTGTGAAACCCAGACCAAGATGGCAAAGCTGCAGAGAACCTTAAAGATCACCTAGTCTCACACACCTTAATGGTATAGATGAGGAAATCAAAGCTCAGGGAGGGCAAATGAGTCACCCAAGGCCAAAAGCAAGGCAAAGGCTGAGCCCAGCTAGAACCCACCTCTAGTTCTGTGGGTTTCCTGCTGAATGGAACCTTATTCAACACCTTCCCCACCCCATGCCCACTCCAGTCTCCTAAGCCTGCTTGACGCTGCTGCAGCCTCCAGGGTCCTGCACAGCCAGTGTTAAGGGGCCAGCTGTCCACTCAAGCCTTGTCTCTCCCCAGGTCTGCGGGGCCTGATGATAGCCGTGGTCATGGCTGCCCTCATGAGCTCACTCACCTCCATCTTCAACAGCAGCAGCACCCTGTTCGCCATCGATGTGTGGCAGCACTTCCACAAGAAGGCAACGGAGCAGGAGCTGATGGTGGTGGGCAGGTGCGCCAGTCTGTCTCCCTGAGCACCTCCTGAGAGCACCCCCTCGCTGTAGGCACAAGTCCCTAACCCCCCTGCCCTGCGTTTCCCTGAGGATATCTGTCTGGGTCTGGGCCCTGGACTGACAGAGTACTGGATCTTAGGGCCAGGTTTCTACATGACCCCAGGTAAGTCCTTCCCCAAACTTTAGACCACTTCTCTCCCTCCAGAATAATGGGGAGAAAAATCTCCTTCCTGCCTATTTAACTTTCTCTTGGAATTAACCAACAGGGTGATTGAGAGAAGATGACAAAGCACTTAGGAAATGAAAGGTGGACCGCATAAGTGGGAGGAGAGTTAGCAAGCAGCTCGCCGCTGAGGTCTTTCAGACCAACTCTGGCTGTTATCCCAGGATAATGGAAATGCTACTAACTTAATCCATCAGACTCACCCAGAACATCTTCCATGGGTCAGATCCTTATGCTGAAGACCCAAGGATGACTCACATGGCCCTGCCCTCAGGGTGCTGTCAGTTCAATAAGACAGGTAGATACACAGGTAATACAGTGAGGTACCTGTGTCGGTGGAGATGTTCACAGGAAGGCTGTCTCCAAACAATGCAGAGCCTTGAACACCATGCTAAAGAATCTGAACTTGGTCTTGTAGGTATCTGTTTTATGCTTTTAAAAGCATAACTTGGTGGCTAATTTTTCTTCTTCTCCATAGCCTGGGGATTTGAAATGTACATAGGGTTAAGGGGTCCTTTCTGAAATCTTGCTTCATAATTTAAGTCCCTAACTCGAGATTCTGGAATAAAGTGCTTGGTGGATAGATGCTTGAGCTTACATATCTTGCTCTTTTACATCTCCCTACCTTTGTGCTCACTGTCCTCCCACCAGGATGCCTTCTGCCCATGGCTGCCTCATGAATTCCTGCTGCCTGCTCCTCTCTGCATACCTAGCCCTCAACACAGGGACTGACCATGCAGGATCTGAGTGCAGGGTGGGTTGTGCAAAGAGGAGAGGGATGAGCAGCAGGGAAGCCACTCGGGTAGCTGCTGCTCTAGTGGGGCCTATGACAGGGAAAATGGGAGGAAAAGGAGAGGAGAGGACAGGTATGCGGAGACATTTCGAAAGAAGTGTCCCTTATCTCTTTGCATACTAACTGCCTAGTTTTTCTGCCACTTATTTCATCAATCACTAGGATTTGGGTGCCATCTCCTGGCCACATGCATTATTGCACGCAACACGTCCAAGAAAATTTTTCATCAACTTGTTCACAAATCCAAAAAATCATACATAGAGAGCACTCTGGACACGTAGGCCTAAGCCAGGGTCAGTTGAGGGGGAGTCAGGAGAAGAAAGTGGGGTTCCTGCCCTAAGCACAGTGCCAATGTAAGGGAGACGGTCAGAACTGAAGGAGCCTGGAGAAGGGAAAAGTGGAGGCTGGGGTCACCCTGGAGAAGGGAGCCATCCCACAAAAAGGGGTTGGGATGTGAACTAGGAGCAACAGCAGCCCAGGCAGAGATGAGAGGCCTTTTTCCAGGTGGGTGCTGGGGTGGAAGGTATGGACTACTCCTTGAACAGCAGGTGGGCTACATGACCTCCAAGGCATCGAATATATAAATGCCAAGGTCTTAGAATTATGAATTTCTTGGATTCTGCAATTCTAATATTGTGGGATTTTAATAGTCTAAGTTGGGATTCTAACCTTCTAATTTTCTCTGATTCGGCGACCAGGCATTCCCTTCCCTTCTTCCTTCCTGGTTCCTGAGCATCCCCTTCACCCCACCCTGTGCCTCACAGCAACCTGTGATCTCCCTGGCAGAGTGTTTGTGGTGTTCCTGGTTGTCATCAGCATCCTCTGGATCCCCATGGTCCAAAGCTCCAACAGTGGGCAGCTCTTCGACTACATCCAGTCTATCACCAGCTACCTGGCTCCACCCATCACTGCCCTCTTCCTGCTGGCCATCTTCTGCAAGAGGGTCACAGAGCCTGTGAGTGCAGCACACCTGTCTCTTTCCCAGTACAGCAGAGTCTGGAGACCTGGTTTGTCAGTTACCTGGTCTCTGTGACCTTGGGCACACCCACTGCCCCCTCTAGGCTTCCATCTCCCTGACCAGAGCATTGGGTCTAAATTCTTTCATTCACCGAACAAACATTTATCAGTCCTATTAAGGCTGCTCCAGAAATGCAATGGTTTACAAGGTTCACATAGGTCTGCCATTGCTGGCTGGAAAGATGATAAATAAGCAATAATAATAAATTATAATGGCTACTGTGGGAGCAAAAAGCATGAGTACCTAACCTATGGGACTCTTGGGAGGGTGTTAGGGAAGATTTCCTGGATGAAATGACATCTGAGCTGAGACTTGAAGGATTACAGGGAGGGGAAGAGCATTCCAGACATGAGGAACAGTGTGTGTGAAAGAGCAAGACAGACTGGAAGACCTCTAGGGTCTGTTCCCTCTCTGACACTGTAAGGTTCTATATGTAAGCAAAATAACAGCAATTGACAGTGATGATGACAAAGTGCCCTGTGGGCGTCTGCACACGCATCATTCACCTAACTGTGCTGAAACCTGAGAGAAGTCTGGGAGGAAGCTAGAGGTACAGGGACTGGAACCTGGAACTCCCCAGGACAGCCTAGGAGAGACAGGCCCAAATCTACTGACTGTACCATGAGAAGTTACAACATGAGAGGTCAAGGTCACTGCACAGATAGCATAGAAACCCCTCCCTTGATGGCGCACCAACCAAGGTGTCCACAGTTTGCAGAGGTCTAATCTTTTCACTGATAAGCATAGCATGCAGCAGAACCCAGTTGAATTCTGGGTGTTTCTGCTCATTCTAGAGTTTCTGAAATCAGAACCAGCATCTCATTTTTGAAGATATCAGTTATCTGACCTTACATACTGGAAACAGTTACAGGTTAGGGACAAATGGAACTATAAAGAAGAAAGAAAGATATAGGAGGTACCAGCGCTTTTCTTTTCTTTCTTTCTTTTTTTTTTTTTTTTTTTAAAGGCAATGGAAGGGATAGCTCTATTATGATTTCTGAGTTATCATACCAGAAAGTTGGGAAGAGGATCCTGGTGTTCCCTGCTTATAACAAAACTTATTCCACTTTAGTTAAATATTAAGCATGTAATTCTTAATTCTCATGACTTAATTATTCATGATAATTCTCTTATCATGGCACATGAGAAAACTCCGAGTCATCAAGGTCAAGTCATTGGTTCAGAGTCAGTCTGAAATGGAGCCAGGATTCAATTCCTACTCTATTGACTCTGGAGCCCATACTCTTTTCAGTACACCACTTTGCCTGCCTGTAAGTCAAGATGAAGTCACAGCATTCACGGGGAACTCACTAAGATGTTCTTGCCAAACACTGTAATAAACCAGCAGGGGAGAGATTGGGAGCAGAGTGGCTTTTCCCTTCCTAGGAAGATCCCTGCTTGTGTCTGCCCTCTCTCTACAGGGAGCCTTCTGGGGCCTCATGTTTGGCCTGGGGGTGGGGTTTCTGCGCATGATTCTGGAGTTCTCCTACCCAGCCCCAGCCTGTGGCGAGGTGGACCGGAGGCCAGCCTTGCTGAAGGACTTCCACTACCTGTACTTTGCTCTCCTCCTCTGCGGGCTCACTGCCATGGTCATCATCACTGTCAGCCTGTGTACAACCCCCATCCCTGAGGAAAAGGCAAGTGGTTTGTGTGCACTGAGGCCCCCCCTGAAATGCTCCCCTACCCCCAATGCCTAGACTTCCATGACTGAGTTTTACTCTGTTGAGTTAGGGTCCCCCCTGTGGTCATACAGATATCCCTGTGAGGGGGAGCTCATTGGCCTATGAATTCTCAAGTGAAAAGTAACTCACTCAATTCAAAAATTACTCATCGAGTATCTAGTATGTACTAGGCACTGTGTTGAGGTTAAAGATGAGTGATCCCTGCCGGTGACTGTCCATGCGGGGAAACAGACACCAACACAAACTTACCACACAAAGAGAACATGCAGAAGGACCAGGCTCAACGGGAGCGGCCAAGCACAGAAGCAGAGGCAGTCCCCACCTGGGAGGCCGGGAAGGGTGCCCTGACAAGGTCACTTTGGTAATAAATGGAGATTTTTTGAATGGTCAAGAAACAAGTACATGAGAAAAGAAAGAGTTTGCTAGATTAAGAGCTGAACTTAAACTCCTTACCTCTCCCAAGCTGGCTGATTTACCAGGTCTTCAGCATGGATGCACAGTTTTTGAAGCCTTTTTTTCCTTACTGCCATAATGAAATACCAAAGACTGGGTGACTCAGCAGAAATATACCGTCTCACAGTGTGGAGGCTAGAAGTCGAGATCAAGACGTTGGCAGGATTGCTTTATTCCGAGGCCTCTCTCTGTGGGTTGTAGATGGCCGTCTTCTCCTCTTTGTCTTCACAATGTGCCTGTCTGTGACCTAATCTCCTCCTCTTTAAGGACATCAGTTTATTGGATCAGGGCCCATTTTAAGACCTCATTTACCCTTAATTACCTCTTTAAAGACCTCAACTCCAAATACAGTCACATTCTGAGGTACTGGGGGCTGTGACTTCAACATGTGAATTTTGGGAGGACACAAGTCAGCCCATAACAGAGCCCATGGCAGAAGGTAGTCCCTGAAATATTAAGTGGAAATCATTTAAAATGCCCCTTATGTGTATGGTGCTTTAGAGTTTGCAAAATGACTTCATACCCTTGGTTTTACTGATTTCCTGCAAACAAGCAGGGCATTCACAGATGAGCCAAGAGAAGCAGACTTCTCCAGTGGCTCACTCCAGAAATGGTCTCCTCCTGCTCCTCAGTCTTCACCTTCTCCATTGTCTGCTCTCTTGCTCCCACACTGAAGTTTTCCCCAGTTTAAAATACTTCCTGAATCCTGTTCTGTACAGGTCCTGCTGCCTCCCTCTCCTCCTCAACAGCAGACTTTTGCAGAGAAGAGCCTCCATCCCCCAAGTCTACTTCTCACCTCTTGTTTAATTCTCCACCCATGCAGTCTGGCTGTTGTCCCCAGCATTCCACCAAAATCACTCTCACTGAGGTCACTGATAACATCTTGTTGCTAAAATCAATGGACACATCCCCATTTTTATCTTAAGTGCATTCCAAAGAGAACTAGACACCGCTGACCATTTCCTGCATCCTGAAGACCTCTCTTCTGTTCACTTTGATAATGGATTTCTCTTCTTTTTTTTTTTTTTCTCTATCCTTCTGATCACTCTTCTGACTTTTTCCTGGGCCTTTCTTCCTGCCTCTTAAATATTATTGTTCCTTAGGAACCCATCTCTTTCCTACAACCCTTCTCACCCTACAATGTCCCTGAGTTATGAATTCAACAACTTTCTATATAAAGATGACAGTCAATTCTCTGTCTCCAGCCAAAACCCCTCTCTCAAGGTTCAAACCCCCAAATCCATCTGCCTCCTCGTGGCATAAAGAGGCACAGTCCATATGCTACTAGTGACACAATGTAAATATAAAGTTTACTGAGAGATATACATAAGCAAAGAAGCCTCGGGGGCTCTCATGATCCCAGAGACACATGCTTGAGCCTGCACAGCTGGATGCACAGTGGAAGGTAGGAAGCAGGGTGCAGGGCAGGGGACACTTGGTTCAACATGTAACAAACAGCTGCCTGGGCAGAAGAGCCTTGTTAGAAAGGAGATCAGAGCTCAGGTGGTCCTGTTTGAGTCCAACACCACTGATATCAGCCAGAGAACTTAATATTTTTTCTCTGCTGAGCCACCAAAATGGAAGAGGACAGAGAAGAGGAAAAACCACCAGGACCATCCAGGGGACATAAGATTTGTTTCTCCTCACCTAGAGCTCCTACAGACTCTTGAAGCTCGCCATCATACTTGTGTGTGCACGTTCTCTCCCTGCCCCTCTCTCTCACTTGCTCACTTTCTTGCTCTCACTCTTCCCTTTCTCAACAGCACCAAACCCACTTCTTGTCTTGTGTCCTCTATCCCTGGGAGGAGTCTCACTACCCGTCTGATTGTGTAAGGCAGGAACCCAAACCGTGGTTGCCTCTCCCCACTCGCTCACCAGCTCACTCAATCATTCCCCACGTCCTCCAGACGTTACCTCCTCAACATCCCTCAAGACTGCTCCTGCCTACCCAGTACCTCGGACACTCTTCATTTCTCGCTTCCCTTTTGTGACAGCCTCCTGGACCCCCTTCAATTCACTCTGAGAGATCTTTGAAAAATCCTTCCCAAATCTACCAACAGGGAAGTCCCTTCACCTCCCCAGGGTTGCACGAGTATAAGTCCCTTCCCTTTGCCTAAACTCTGCGGTGACTCTCCATTGTCTATAAGGATGTTAAGTAACAACTCCTTGGTCTGACCTTTGAAGCTTTTTGTGATCTGCACCTGCCTCCCTGTCCAGCTTTGTTTCTGTCTGTGAGCTCCATGAGGAGGGCCTACACCGGCTGGGGTCTGTAGTCCACCACCCAGAACAAGCCTGGCGTGGAGTAGGTGCTCAGGGAGGACTCCTCTTTGAAGAAAGGGGAAGTCAGGGCTAGGACTCCCAACCCTGGCCTTGTTCCTCATCCTCCTGCCTTTGCCCAGACACCTCCCATGGACTGGGCCCTCTTTTCTGACAGCAGGACTTCTCTCCAAAGGCTACTGACTCCACACAGCATTTTCTCTCCCTACAGCTCGCTCGCCTGACATGGTGGACTCGAAACTGCCCCCACTGTGAGAGCACGCCAGGGACATCAGAGAGGCCAGCTGGGGAGTACCCTGCAGGCGGTGGAGTGGCAGAGATCTCCAGCCAGGGCTGGGTGCCGCCAGGAGGTAGGCTGAGGGCATGCAGGAGGTTCGCATCACAGGGAAGCAATAGGGATGGATGCTGTGTCGTAGGCCTCCTATGACCGCATTTGGTGGTCACTGGGGTCTCCAAGGGAGCCCGATAAATATCACCCTTCCGCACATGTCTATTGAACTATTTGAGAAATAAGACAGATGAGTAAGGCAGATGGGAGGCAAAGTATTACCCTTGTTACTGATAGAATGTATATGGAAAGTTGTAGTTCATGTCCATGGGGAGGTGCCCTTCCTAACACTGAACCCCAGCGTAGACAGAGTACCCAGCCAGTCACCAGCAGGTCTGACCAAGGGCACAGCCTACACCCTTTGAAGGAGGGGGGCTGAGCCAAGCATGCCCCCTTTATCCTTCCCAAATCTACCAACAGGGAAGTCCCTTCACTTCCCCAGGGTTGAATGAGTATAAGAGCAGAAGAAACAATGAGTGTTTACATGTATTGAGTTCCCGGCACATGGAAGGAAACATTAGGCATGGCAAAGAAACACCCCACCCACAGTCCCCACCACCACATTTCTTTAATATATGTCTCCCACTGGGCTTAACAATTCTGCCTAAAGTCACAGAGAAGCATGGCTGTCCCTCATGGGACAAGAGCAGCCATATGTCTGTCTTCATGAGGTCTTCATGAGGTTCCTTGGAAACAACCTCCACTCCTACAGATGTCTCCTTGTGCTTCTGATAGTCTGTATAAATTATGCTTCCTGCAGGTTCTTAAATGTGTTAGAACAGTACATTAACTAAATTTACTCCAAGGCCACATAATCTTTAAAACTGAAAATTGTCATAAGACATAATGTACCTGCTTTAGACATAATACAGCTATAATCTTCCTGTGGTGAGATTAAGTAACAATATTAAAATCTCTAATGATAGAATGACAACGTTATAGAGATTTCTCAATTAGAAAATTTCCAAGGAAAATTTTTAAATCCAAAAAGTTAAATCCATTTGCAAGTTAAAGTCTAATATCAATTTATCTTGCCCTTGCGAATTAAAGTGCAGTGAAATTTAAATCCTAAATATATTTCCTGCCTCAGTTAGAAGGGGTCTCAGTGGCTGGATGGAGTCAGGGTTCCTTCAGTAGCTGCTTTCCCCCACTTGCAAAAGAAACAAACACCAGGAATAGTGAAGAAGCATTCAAACTAACTACTCTGACCCGATAATTATACAACATATATATACGTATATCAAAACATCAAATTTTACCTCATAAAAATGTACAATTACTACGTGCCAATTAAAATTAATTAATTTTTTAAAGGCCTTCAGGCAGAGGTAGGCCAGACGGATAATTCTGAGTACTAAAAAAAAGAAAAAAAAATTAAAGAGCAAAAGAGTAGATCTGAAAGAAGTATATTCATCCCAGGTTTTAGATAGATTTAGACGCGTTAAATTATTGCACACTTAATAATGACTTAGTCACACAGGTTCTCTGGGTATGTGGAATTCACACATGAAGCCCTGTGTGTCATCTACCTCAGAGTGTCGCCATGAGAACCAAAAGAGAAAATGTTTGGACCAGCTTGCAAAATGATAAAGCCTAGTACAGTGAAAAAGGTAAAATTTATATTATTGTTCTTAGTGCAGTTCTGCAGCTACATGTCCTTAAGCAAGTATTTTCCTTTCTCTAAGTCTTTTTCGTCTGTGCAATAAGGAAGCCAGATCAGATGGTATTCAGGGTCCCTGCAACTCTGACACTCTGTGGTTGCATTGAACTTACCAAGTACCATGTTCCAAAGCCTTAAAATAATAAAGCCTACATTCCTAGTGCATTCTTTTCAATATCAATGAAAGGCTTTTTATATTAATTTTATTTTTAATATCCTATCTGCTAATTTAAAAATATGTACCTTATTACTTCTTTTGAACTTAGTTTTTAGTGAATTGCACTATCTTTTAACTTCAGGATGGCCCTTTCTGCACACTGGGGAGCCTGTGACTACATGGGCTTGGCTCATGCACATTCAGAACATGATATTCATCAGAACCTCTCCCCCATGCTCCAGCCCTGGTAACTTTTTATTTTTTATTTATTTTATTTTTTTATTTTTTTATTTTTTCCTTTTTTTGTCTTTTTTTGTGACCGGCAACGGATCGCAACCCTCAGTGTCGCGCCCGTACCGGACCGGGACCGGCCACGGGATCGCAACCCTCGGTGTTGCTCTCGCCCCTCGCTCAGCCAGTGAGCGGCCGGTCTGTATGTGGGATCCGAACCCTCGGCGGGAGCGCCTCCACGCTTCCCAAGCAGCACACTATAGCAGTGCACCACCGGGCCGGCCCCCTGGTAACTTTTTAAAGTGTCATCAAATCTCCACTCTCATTTGCTGCTCAAAACAGCCTCAACACAGAGCACAGGGCATACAACATTGACCCATCTGAGAAAGCAAGAACCTGCAGCTCAGAGAGGTGGAGTGATTTGCATATGGCCTCATAGTCAGCTGATGGTAGAGCTGGCCCTGGAACACTGAGTTCCTGGCTTGCAGCCCAGTGCCCTTTCCAATGGCAAGTGCAGCAATCTTTCTGGTTCAAACATTTTCTCCTTCCTGGGTGGGATAATGCTCCTTCCCTCCATCCTGATTCAGGACTTGTGCTCTGAATTGGGATGGATTGCATTCTCCTCCCTCCTTAACACATCATCCCCCTTCAACAGTGAGATGCTTCTGTTTGTGTGCTGTGGCTGGGTCAGAGCTTAGGCTAGAATACCAGCTTAGCACCCAGTCTGTGGTTTGCAGAGAGGGCGAAGTCAATGCTCCACCCCTACCTGCCTTCTGCACATCCCATCCCTTTCTTCAGTTTCTCACTGCCTTTCTCCCTTCTCTCCTCCCTCATCACTTCCCTTTCTCGCCTCTCCCCTCATGTTCTCCTTCCCCTTCTGGTTTTGTCCCTCCAGCCCCATACAGGTCCTGGGGAAAGCTGCTCTGGAGCTGGTTCTGTGGGCTCTCCGGGGCCCCTGAGCAGGCCCTGAGCCCTGCAGAGAAGGCTAAACTAGAGCAGAAGCTGACCAGCATTGAGGAGGAGCCCCTCTGGAGAAACATCTGCAATATCAATGCTGTACTCCTGCTGACCATCAACATCTTCCTTTGGGGCTATTTTGCATGACTACACAGACCTGGCTCAACAAGACAGATTAAATACAGCCCAAGCCTGGCCAACCACAGACATAGTTTTTCCTCCCATCTTGCTGCTCAGACTGGAGACAATGGAGGCTGAGCCTGCAGGAGCACCTGAAGAGCATCTAATACCACCTGCACACTCAGCAAGTGGAAAAATGAGGTCCAGAGAGAGCACTGGACTTGTTCATGACCACACAGAAGCACTCACACTGGGTCTCCTGACTCCAGCTCTCTTTTCATTACATTGCCTTATACTCCTACCTCAAAGACACTGAGTCTATTCAGGAACTTTTACTGTACATGAGTTTTGAGGTTAGAAAAGTGGAGGATATAAGAAAAAGAGTAGCAAGAAATTTGCAAAAATCCAAGTATCGTTTGCTCCCCAAACCCCATTCTTCCTCCCCGTTCTGGTTCCCCTACCTCTCTCTCTCTCTCTGTCTATTCCCAATCCCCAGTAATCTATTTGTAGCATGAATCTTCCCAGGAAGGTCTTATATTTCCATGGGTGGCTATCAGACCTAAAGGAGTGAGGGGTCAAGTGTAGAATTTAAGCATGGTGACAGATGGTATTTTGGGCAGGGAGCTCTCGGACAAGGGACTCTCCCTGGCACTATTTAAATTCTGCCTCCTCCTACTCTCAAATCCAAACATGCATAAAGTCTTCGTGCCCTTGATGAACTTAGAGTCGAATTTGAGAGACATGATTTGTTGAAAACAAGAGGAATAAAGACATGCTACTCTGTGCTTAAGGATAAACCCTGCAGGGAGCAGCATGGACAGCCCAGGAGCCACTGCATCTGGGCTTTTGCTCCTATCTCTTTGCCTGCCAAGCATCTGCCTACCCTGGAATACACCATGACCCCGTTTAAGTGTCTCTTCTCCAGGAAGCTGTCCTAATGCCCCAAACTGGGTCAAGTCCCCATGCCTTCTCCCATAACCACTGGACCTGCTCCTGTCATAGCACTGATCACACCTCACCAAAACGTTGTTTCCCCTCCTAGATGGAGTACTTCATGGGGCTGGGACAAAGGATCATGTCCTGAGTTACTTTGTACAGAGGAAATAACAGGTGTTCAATAAATATTTGTTGGATTAATAAATTCTCCATGGTCCTGATACGCTTTGGGCTGTGACTCGCTGGATAGTGACTTGGGGAGTCAGCTGGCAAGAAGGAGTCTCCGTAAGTTGGAGTCTAAACAACTGAGTCTCAGATATCAGAATGAGGCCACAACCCTAGCCCATTGACAAAGACATAGGTGAGAATGTCCCTACCCTCTTCTGCCTCCCTGTCTAGGCTGCCTCTACCTCACCCAATCCTCTTTAATGCTGCCTTTGGTCATCATTCTATACTAATCACTAATCATAGCTGAATACAGATAAAATGCTATTTCTTTGAGGTGTGGATACAGCTGATTCTATGAATACCTTCAAATTTGGCTTCACTTGTGTCTCCCCTCAGGTGGCTCTGCTGTCTCTATTATTCCCCATTGACCTTTACTGAGAACTCAGCTTTTCCCCCTGATTTTTCCAAAACCATTCACCCAAGTCATTTGTGTGCAACAAATTATACTGAAGGTTTGCGGAGGGGAAGAATTTTAAGCCACAGAAGCACGATTTAAAATTGGATATTGAACATTCTATTTTTAAAAGTTCCTCAGCTGCCTGCTATAAGAACTTCTCAGAGGTCTCCTCCTCAGTTTCCAACCTCCTGCCTCCTGCTGTGGCTCTCAGTCCTCCCCCCTTCCTGCAGATTTGAGACATCTCTGCATCCCTCCATTTTTGGCTTTCCTCCCCAGTCCTCCCTTCCTTTATTATGATAAACTTCTACTGGGCTCCAGACCTGTCTGACCCAAAGATTCACGAGTGTGATGTTGAATATAGGACTGCAGGAAGGGCAGCCACTCCCCTACCCTACCTTCTTTGCCTAGTTAATTCCTACTTGTTCCCCACATCTCAGCTCCAAAGGCACATCCTAAGGGAAGCCATATTGTCCCAATCACATTCTCACCATAACCTTCTGTGTCCCAGAGTAGATGAGCTCCCAACATCCAACTACAGTCTCACAGTCTCCTGATTTTACCTTTGAAGCATGGGTCAGAGTGTGTACTGCTATATTGATATAATTATTTAATTAATATGTATCTCGTCCCCTAGATTGTGAGCTCCCCACAGAGTCTCCATCACTTACAATGGTACCTGGCACATGGTGGGTGCAAAAAAATTGTGTTGTATGAATAAGCGAATGGATGAATAAATGAATGAATGAGTGAAAAGGCACCCTTAGCAGAGAAAAACAAATATCCAAGATATGGAGGTGGGAAAAATCATAACACAACCAAGAACAAAAATAGTTTAAAATGTCTGGATGGAGGGCACATGTGGGCAGGGCCACGGCTAGTCATTATGGCTTCTTTGTGCAAGTGAGCAAAAGGCACCCTTCCTTCTTGGCAGATACAGCTCCTCACTATAGGGCTATAGGTGGCAGCCAGAGCTCAGGCTCATTTCAGCCCCCATATTTCCCCACGACCAGGTGAATATGTTCAGGTCACTGCCTTTACAACCATGAATGGTAGCCCTGAATGTTGGGGAGTGGCTGGTATAGTAACTGAGAGGTAAGCAGGGGTTAGCTTTGGGAGTAGTTCCCATGGTAAATTTAGGACTTCATCATCTTTTACCTGGATCATTTCAACAGCCCCTTGATCTTTTCTCTATTCCCAGTCTCTTCTCTCCCATTTCATCCTATGAACTATAGCAACAGTAATTTCTGTAAAATCCAAATCTTGTGTTTTACCTATTTAAGAATCTCTACAAATGATGTTTTTTAGTTTGGCAAGAGGACTAACAAAAGCTGCTAAATATATCTCAGGGTGTCCTTGGGCTTCCTTCTCTACTCCAGCCAAAAAGAGGCTGTTCCACACAGTAGTTAAGAGCAGGAGCTTGGGCCTTACAAGGGAGCCATACATCTGGAAACAAAAGAATGATAACTGCCATCCTGAAAACACACAAAAGGATAAACCTCACTGGCAAAGCAGATATATAAATGATAAATAGAAAGGAATCAAACTGTATTACTAAGGAAAATTGCCAAACTGCAATGATAAACAATAATAGGGGAGGAAAGTAATAAAGGGTACATTAAACAAAAGACAAAACGGAAGACGAAAAACAAAATGACAGGAGTAAGTTCTCACCTATCAATAATAAGCTTGAATGTAAAGGGACTAAATTCCCCAAATAAAAAGTATAGAATGGATGAATGGATAAAGAAACAAAACCCAACTATATTTTACCTACAAGATACTCGCTTTACCTGTAAAGACACAAATAGACTGAAAGTGAAGAAATGGAAAAAGATACTCCATGCAAATGAAAACCAAAACCAAGCAGGAGTAGCTATACTTATATAAACAGACTTTATGTGAAAAACCATAAAAGGAGACAAATAAGGGCATTATACAATGTTAGAGGTGTAAATCAAGCAAAAGGATATAACAAATGTAAACACTTGTATATATGCACCCAACATTGGAACACCCAGATATATAAGGCAGATATTTTTCGATCAAAAGGAAGATATAGACTCAATACATAATTTTGGAGACTCCAACACCCCAGTATCAGCATTGAAAAGATCATCTAGACAGAAGATCAACAAATAAACATTAGATTTAAAGTACAGTGTAGGAGCTGGCCATTTAGCTCAGTTGTTCAAAGTGTGGAGCCAATAAATTGTTTAGAGTGTGGAGCTGATAACACCAAGGTCCCAGGTTTGATCCCTGCACTTGCCAGCCACCAAAAAATAAATAAATAAATGAATAAATAAATAAATAGATAGATAGATAAATAAAATTAAACTACACTATAGACCAAATGTATCTTACAGACATTGACAGAACACTTCATCAACAGCTGCAGAGCACACATTCTTCTCATCAGCACATAGAACATTCTCCAGGATCTAATGTATGTTAGGTGACAAAATAACTCTCAACAAACTTTAAAAAACTGAAATCATATCACATGTCTTCTCTGAGCACAATGGAATATAACTAGAAATTAACAGCAAGAGAAACTCTCAAAACATGGAGATTAAACACCATGCTTCTGAATGACCAGTGGGTCATTGAAGACATTAAGAAAAAAACTTTAAAAATTCTTGAGACAAATAAAAACAGAAAAACAAAATACCAAAATCTATGAAACACAGCCAAAGCATATTAAGTGGTAATTTTATAGCAATAAATGCCTACATCAAAAAAAGTAGAAAGATTTCAAAGAAACAATCTAATAATGAGTATCAAGGAATTAGACAAGCAAGAACAAATCAAACCCAAAATCAGTAGAAGGAAAGAAATAATAAAGATCAGAGCAGAAATAAACAAAAGATTAACTAAACAGAATGTTGGGGTTTTTTGAAAACATAAATAAAATTGACACACCATTAGCTAATGAAGAAAAAAGAGAAAAGACTCAAATAAGTAAAATCAGAAACCAAAAAGGAGACATTACAACTGATACCACAGAAATATGAAGGATCAATAGAGATTATTATGAAGAGTTACACACCAAAAAAATTGGAAAACCTAGAGGAAATGGATACATTCCTGGACATACACAATCCCTTAAGATTGAACCAAGAAAAAATAGAAAACATGAACAGAAAAACTGTGAGCAACAAGATTGAATCAGTAATAAAAAATCTTTCATTTTAAAAAAGAAATTGACCTAGATGTCTTCACTGCTGAATTCTACCAAATATTTAAAGAAAAATTAATACCAATTTTTCTCAAACTCCTCTAGAAAATTGAAGAGGAGGTAATTCTTCCATACTCAGTTTATGAGGCCAGCATTACTCTGATACCAAAATCATACAAGGGCACAACTAAAAATAATTTTTAAAACAAAACTAAACTAAACTAAAGTCAAATGTTCCTGACGAATTTAGATGCAACAAAAAGTTCTCAACAAATGTCTGAAAATAATCTCAGAGACTCAAGGATGGTTCAGCATACACAAATCAATAAATGTGATACATCACATCAACAGAACAGACAGAAACAATATAATCATTTAAATGATGCAGAAAAAGCATTTGATAAAATTCAGTATCCCTTTATGATAAAAACTCTTAACAAATTAGGTATAGAAGGAATATACCTCAACAAAGTAGAGGCCATATATGACAAACTCACAGTAATATCATACTGAAAATCTTTCAACTTTTCCTTTAAGGACAGGAACAAGAC